CACGCTGTATCGTCATGCGCAACGTGTTTAACCCTGCCGAAGAGACGGATCCGAACTGGGATGTGGACCTGAGAGATGACATCAGAGGAGAGTGCGAGAGCCAGTTTGGCCGGATTGTTGGCATCGTGGTGCAAAAGGAAAGCACACAGGTGCGCCAACACTTTTCTTTCCTTGCCTATTTTCGTAGAAAATCCTAATATATTATGCCGTCCAGGGCGAAGTTTACATCAAGTTCGAAGAGACGGATGCAGCCCAGAAAGCCGTGCAGGGCTTGAATGGGAGATATTTCGGGGGGAAACAGATCCAGACGGGCTTCATCAGCGATGCGATCTTCGACGCGAGTAATAGGAAGTAGGGTTGAAAAGGAACAAGGTCGGAGAGAACGCTGTTTGGTGGATTTGGCCTAAAGGAGGATTAGACGTCGATTTCTCTGCGTTTCAGGTCGATGATGCATTCCATTAAGGAGGAACGGAATCGAACGAAGGAATGTCTAACCGCAAGATCTCTGTCGACTTTTCCTTCCTGCTGCCTCATTCGTCTACTAGATCATCATACCCTCAATCGAATACTCACGAATCTCCATCTCATATTCTTCTTACTCGCTATTTCTACTATCCATGGACAACAAAGAACCGAACGAACTTGTATTTCTCAACTCAAAAAGAAGACTCGTGCTTCCCCATCTGACCCCATCTACTTAGGCTTCCCTTCTCACCTCCTTCGATATTGTGGTGACCTTCGCTGGATTCATCTCCCTCCGTACGCCAATCACTACCTTATGGAAAAAGAAGGGCTTCTTGGCGTGATGATTGATGGATTCAGTAGGCGTGAACCCGATTCTTCCCCCCTTGGATTTATGGCTCTCTATTATTCCTCAGTATGATAGTTGTAGTTTATATACTCCTTATTTAGTACTTAGCTATATACAACGGTTGGTAACTTTGCAATTTACGCGATGTCACCACCCGTATTCAAGGATTTTCACCCCTCAACGTCGACAATGACTAGCCAGGGAAGAAACCGGTCGTGGAAATTGATTATTCACAGAAGACCAGGAACTATCGCCTTCCTCTCAGCTGGCATTTGAGAGCCAAACTTCTCCTTATACCAAGCGTCTATTCCGTCCCATCAGATCAGTACCCAATCACGGCAAAGGGGGAGAGGATGCATACGAGTTTTGACGGCACGAGGTACCATTGTTCCGATTTCAGCCCATACGAACAGCCAAGGAGGGCTGTTGATCAAGAAAGAGAGGAGGGATGAGGTATCGATAGCTAAGCTAGAAGGGAGGAGAGTGCGTTTGAAAGGGGTAGCAAGAAAGCTGAAGATGGTTCCTGCGGTGGAGCCTGTAGGGGGATGGTAAGGTGTCAAACTGGTACATGCGATGGCGAATCCGATCCATTCGACCCATTCGCAGAAGTATGCCGGGTTGCTGATCCCTCCAAAACCCTTGTCGAATAAGAAACCGTGAGGGACTTCGTAGTGCCTTTTTTCACCCTCTTTTGGTTTCGGGCGATTCCTCCTTATCGAATAAAGGATCTCGTCATGTACAATGTTCCCGGCTAGGCCAATGGCCCAGAGTAAAATTCCTCCCCAGAACCCGAGTGGCCCTCCCCATCCCCTTCCTTGAAGCTGAACAGGCAACCGACCGCCAAGAAAACTTCCCATTAGGAAAGCGTTGAATGTGTTGAAGAAGAGAGCAACGACCACCACCACGACGTGCATGGGAGCGCGAGAAGGGTTTCGGAAACTTGAAATGACTGCTCGGTTTGCGTAGTGAATGAGGAAGAGGCATGCGAGGAGGACTCGAGGATATGGCAGAGCTTTTAGACGGGTAAGAGAAGGGTCGAGGAGGTCAGAGGCGTGTGTTGTAGATAGGGGAGGGGAAAGAGTTGAGAGGATGAGGAGGATGGGAGAGACGATTTCCATGCAGAACCATGCTGGGGTTCCTACGTCGGACTCTTAGAAACTAGTGATAGGGAAGGGGACGGAATGAACGAACCTGGCAAGCTGAATCCAGGACCTGATCCCTTGAAGAAGGAGCTGCCATACCTTCCGAATGGCGCAGCTGGAAAGAGTCAATCAGCGGTTGCTCAACGTGGCTGTGATGATCAAGCTTGAGACTTATGAAATGTAGAAATTTGAGATTTACCACGCTACCTCAGCTTTTGAGGCTTAATTTCTGCTCATTCTACAATCTATCAACTAAGCTATTGTGCGATGACAACTGAAGAAAAGCAGAGCGTTGTTCCCAGCATCTGAGATTGTAACGCATTCATGATTCTCTCCGGCTCCTCTTTGCTCCACTGCGGTTGCATCCCAGTCGCATTGTGGAACGCAAGAAATACCCAATCAATGGGAAGAAAAGGTGCCATGCAAGCAGAAGCAGTTCTTTTGATTGAACGTCTGCGCATGTATCAAATAACATCTCACCATGTTGGAGGTGAACAACAAAGGCTTTGCTCAGAATCACTCTTCGGTTCTGCGTGCAAAATTGTAGATATATTACTACACGCCTCTAAATGCTTACAATCGTCTTATCGTCAATGGGTTATATAGACTCGCAGCCAAGATTAAAACTGGTGCATCTTAGGGGACACTTCAGCTTATATACCTTCCCACTCATGCTCATTGGAAGTGGAAAGCCTCAAATCCGCATGCCTAACAAGCGTAATGACAAGCTGCGAATCATATTTAAAGAGCTGAACAGCTGAATCCATTGAGCGAGTTCCCGTGCATTGCGAGTCCTGTCAATTTCTCAACGGATTGACGTGATTCTGCGGCAGCTCTTTCGAAGATCCATCATTCACAGAACTCAATGAAAAGACGAAAAAAGCATTGAGGATCCGCACACTTCCAATTCGGAATTCACGAATGGCGAATGGGTGTGGGAAGGTTATAAACCTCGAAAAGAGACATGCACCAACAGGCTGAATACGCGAAGGCGTAGATGGAGCGCTGCCGCTCAAGCAACCCATAACATGATGGGACACTTACAAATATAGAACGTAACAGGTCCCAAGGCGGGAAATGCCTGGAAAATCTTGGAGAAGGCGGAATAGACTCCCTGTGTGCCGTATTGGCCTTGAAGAGCGCGGAGGACGTCGGAAAGAGTAGACATCGGCTACCGCTATGAGTCCGTTTGGATTGATGACTGCTGTAATAAATTGATAGACTAATTGACAATGGAACTCGTCAAGGAAGTGTTCATTGCTGCAAACAAAGTGACGTTGGCAAATAACTTTAATAGAAAACAGTTTACATTACCAATAACGGCAGGTTTCTACTTAGGAGAAGCAGTGGCCGAGTGGTCTAAGGCGGAGGATTTAAGTCCCTCTACGAAAGTGCGTGGGTTCGAACCCCACCTGCTTCATTTTGGTTCTTTCTTCTATTTTGTATGTCTTTTTTTCAGTGCGTCATCCGCAGATACACCTATTTCCTCCCCCAGTAGCGCGAAGTAATCACCTAAACTGGCTTGCGTCGTCCTCCTACCCCACCTTTTTTACTCGCAGCAGTTCTTACATGTTGTCTTTGTGACGCGCTTTGAAATACTGGACATGATGGGGTATAAAGCGTTGGCAGCGGCATCCAGCATATCCTGATGAAAGGCGCAAAGAATAGAAACATCGGGAAGTCGAGTAGATACTAACTATCCAATCAGCTCATTCGTGGCTTGGAACCAATCGTTCGATGTGATGGCAAGCAGTAAAATCGATTCGAACCTGGCAAGCTGAATCCAGGACCTGATCCCTTGAAGAAGGAGCTGCCATACCTTCCGAATGGCGCAGCTGGAAAGAGTCAATCAGCGGTTGCTCAACGTGGCTGTGATGATCAAGCTTGAGACTTATGAAATGTAGAAATTTGAGATTTACCACGCTACCTCAGCTTTTGAGGCTTAATTTCTGCTCATTCTACAATCTATCAACTAAGCTATTGTGCGATGACAACTGAAGAAAAGCAGAGCGTTGTTCCCAGCATCTGAGATTGTAACGCATTCATGATTCTCTCCGGCTCCTCTTTGCTCCACTGCGGTTGCATCCCAGTCGCATTGTGGAACGCAAGAAATACCCAATCAATGGGAAGAAAAGGTGCCATGCAAGCAGAAGCAGTTCTTTTGATTGAACGTCTGCGCATGTATCAAATAACATCTCACCATGTTGGAGGTGAACAACAAAGGCTTTGCTCAGAATCACTCTTCGGTTCTGCGTGCAAAATTGTAGATATATTACTACACGCCTCTAAATGCTTACAATCATCTTATCGTCAACGGGTCATATAGACTTTCAGCCAAGATTAAAACTGCTGCATCTTATGGGACACTTCAGCTTATATACCTTCCCACTCAGGCTCATTGGAACTTGAAAGCCTCAAATCCGCACGCCTAACAAGTGTAATGACAAGCTGCGAATCACATTTAAAGAGCTGAACAGCTGAACCATTGAGCGAGTTCCCGCACATTGCGAGTCCTGTCAATGTCTCAACGGATTGACGTGATCCTGCGGCAGCTCTTTCGACGATCCATCATTCACAAAACTAAATGAAAAGACGAAAAAAGCAAAAAGCATTTTGAGGATCCGCACACTTCCAATTCGGAATTCACGGGAAGGTTATAAACCTCGAAAAGAGACATGCAGCAACAGGCTGAATATGTGAAGGCGTAGATAGAGCACCACCACCACCATTCAAGCAACCCATAACATGATGGGACACTTACAAATATAGAATGTAACAGGTCCCAAGGCGGGAAATGCCTGGAAAATCTTGGAGAAGGCGGAATAGACTCCCTGTGTCCCGTATTGGCCTTGAAGAGCGCGGAGGACGTCGGAGAGAGTAGACATCGGCTGCTACTGCGAGTGCCTTCTGATTGACGACTGCTAACTGATAGGAATTGACTCGTTCTCCAGGGAAATGTTCAACATTCAGGGAAAGAAAGTGACGCTGCGCAACCATATGAAAGCCACACGGTTGAGAATATCATGGGAGCAAGTTTCTACTTAGGAGAAGCAGTGGCCGAGTGGTCTAAGGCGGAGGATTTAAGTCCCTCTACGAAAGTGCGTGGGTTCGAACCCCACCTGCTTCATTTTGTTTTTTTTTTTTTTTTTTTTTTTCCTTGACCATTTTTTTTTCGTTCCCATTTGCGCTCGGTGTTGTGCTTGGGGCGCCTTCGTTGTTCTTCTTCTCCACTTTTTTTCTCAGCGGTTTTCTCATGTTGTGTTTTTGTGGTGGTTTTTGTTTTTGTGCGTGTGCGGCTCTGTGTTTTTGTGGGGTATAGGGTGTGGGCCGTGGTGTCCCATGTGCTGTTACGAGGGGGCAAGGATTGGAACCTTGGGGAGTTGGGTTGGTTCTTACTTTTCCATTGGCTCATTCGTGGCTTGGAACTAATCGTTCGATGTTGTTGGCAGGCGTTAAATTGGTTTTATATCTGTTTTTTTTTTTTTTGGTGGTGATGCTTGTTTGGTTTTTTAGTCGTCGTTCTTCCTCCTGCTGGTCGTTTTTTTGATCCTGCTGAGGTGTTTGTGAGTCGTCTGCTGGCTGCTGAGGCGTCTTATGGCGGCTCCTGCATTCTTTTTTTCTGTTCTTGCAGGCTGGAGGCACGGCGGGGTTTTGTTTTCCACTGTGTCCTCTCTCGCTCTTTCGCTTTTGCTTTTGGAGTTTTGAGGGGGTTTTGCGCGGGGGTGTGTGTCTCTTTTGACGGGTTTTGAGATGTGTCTCTCTTTTTTGAAATGTGGGTCTCGCTTTTAATATCTGCGTGTGGCCCTCTCCTCTCCCTTTCCTGTTCTTCTCGCGCCTTCTTTGCCGTTAGGTTACCCCACCCTAAGGTTTCGTTTCGGTTGGGGCGGCCGGGCCGGGACTTTGACCAAGGCCGGCTTTTGGCGGACCACTACGGCGGCTTTTTGGACCTTTTGCTTCCACCCTTTTGTTTTGTCGCTATGTGTATCTCAGTTTTGTATTTTTAGGTGGTTTTGGGGGGGCTATAGAGTGTTGTGTGTTTTTTTCGTTAGTGGTGGTTCCTGTTTTGGCTTTTGTGTGCACGGCTGTTCTGCTCTCACTCTTTTGTGTTGTTTTTGTTTTTTTGTTTTTTTTTCTCTCTCGCAGCGTTTGAGTGTGTGTCGATATGTTACTTGTATCCCTCTTATTCGCCATTTAAATCCTTTCGCTGAACGCACTTTCAAGCCGTTGCTGAGTGGGTTCTTGATGCAGTCGTTTTGTTCTCATCAACAGCTGAGACCTGCATGATGTGCCCTCTATTTCCCTCGATCGTTTGTACCGATGTACTAATCGCACTCTTCCTCTTCCTCTGCTTTTGGGAGAGGGGAAGAGGAGTCTATTCAAAGATAAAATTAGAATTGGTTAAGGCTCCAAGCTGTCCAGCTGTGCTACGACTCTTGCTCTCCCAAAATCTTCTTCAGGTTCTATTCGTTCTCTGATGTTAGGCCGATAACAAGCTATTTGTGTCCTGGTCGGATGATCAAGCAGACACACGCACCTGTCTTGATTTGTCGCGATCCTGATTTACTGACTCATTTTCCCTTTTACATCTTCGGTTTGTCGCTGCTGAAAGGCTGGAGAGGAATCGCTCCTGATCGGCGAATATGATCTCGTGTCGCGCAGCCCCTAACGAAATCGATGATGTTATAAGGGTCATTCGAGGAACTTGCTTCTGGAAGATGATTCCACGTTTCCATGGAGGTTCGCGAATGTGCGGCGACAAGCATTCCTTCGTCTTGAACTTCACGAGTCTATGTCTTAGTCACATACGGCAATACAGCTCCTCACCGTTCTTGCCTCCTAACTAAGCCCATGATCTACACTTGGGTCTCTTTACACTTCTGTGATCAGAAGGAATAGGACCAATGTCGCCTGTTTTATATTTCTGAGAAGCGGGCAGTGGTTTGTAGCTGTTGTTATTGGAGGAACACTGCGCCAGTAACTCCAAAGCCAAGAGCGGAGAACGTGCGAAGATCACGAATTTGCCTGAGACGAGACTTCTTGTTCATCACTGCCGGTCAAGGTAAGCGGAGACCTCGTTAAGAGGCTTATCGCCGGTCTGCTCTCTAAACAGCCTAAACATGGAGGAGCAGTGTTCATTCTTCTTTATGACAGTAACCACCATCAGAGTGGCATTTCAACCATTGTCTTCCTCCTGACATAGAAGCTGTGGTTCGCGTTAATACTCTTTTTGAATCTGGAAGATGGGGAAGAGAAAGCTAAAGGACGTATCCGTTCTGGTCTACGTCCGTTTTCGCATTTTTTTTTTGTTGCAGCAATCTTGTTGACCGCGTCCTGACGCTGACGGTACCTGCTCCCAACAGGCAACCACACAACGCCGTCTCAACCTTGATTTAGGGGATATTGAAGTTCCAAAACGTCCCCACCATGGGACGCTCAACCTTCTTCCCCGTCCTCTCTCTCTTCCCATTCCCAGCAATTCCAATCTCACCAGCCAAATGCGCCGCTCGATATCGGCCGCACCCGGTTTTCACTCGTCAACCTTCAATATTCAAACCCCTATGCGGCATCACAAGAGTACGGAGGCGGAAACGGAAAGGATTTCATTCCGAAAGACGCGACCAACCCTTACGAGACAGACGAGCCTTTCAGCCCGTATAATTTCAGCCAGGTCCCCACAGGATCGTCGTCGAACATTAAGCTTGGAGGTGGTGGACCTGGGAACGGCGTGGGGGGACGGCCGGTTTCATCTGGCTCGGGGGGAAGACCAGTGTCTGTCTTCTCGAGTCGAAGTGCCAGTGGCGTGCAGAGCGGAGGGCCGAGCAGGAGGGAAACGAGGGATAGTACCGCGTTTGCATTGAGCGGATTGAGCATCGATAGCGGGAATGGGAGTGACAATAGGAGCCTTTCTGGCCCATTGAGCCCCGTCCTTGGAGCTGGAAATGCTGGCTTCAGGATTTATGGAAGAGACGACTTATTAAGTAAGCCGTCGTCTTCCACTCGTGTCGAACTGGAGCTTAAATCCACGCTCAAAGATCGTTCGAATGCCTCCGTGACTACGACCGCTTTAGCCAGAGCGGTCTCAGAGCAGGAAGACTATTCTGTCGTCGATGGACTATTGTTTTCGGTCCAAGAGCAGATTGACATTGGCGGAAGAGCGAGCGGAGAGATTGCCCAACAGTTTGTAGATGCCGGGTTGGTGCAAAATCTTGATTCGCTACTTATTGCTCGTGGCGTTGAAGGGCTGGGATTGGAGATAGTCATTCAAACCATTGGATATCTCGCGTCTGTTTTATTCTCTTTTATTGGAGATGAGTGTGATTGACGCACCTGAGATAGGCAAGATCCTCCGGGCTGCCTCACCATCGTTAAATCCCACCTCTTGTCTGGCCTTCTCTCGCACCTGACATCGCCACATAAAGCTGTCCTCAAGACGTTGACGCTTTGGGTTCTCGCTCGCCTATGTTGCACATTGGAAATAGTGCAGATACTCCAAAAATCGCTTTCGACGTCGATTGATGCGCTTCCTCTTGTACCCTGTCTGTTGACGAACGGCTTCACTCACCCTGCAGCGTCAACACAGGCTGCCTTCATACTTGGGAACACGGTATACAACGACGCGACGGCGGATGCGCTGATGAACACGAAGGGGTTTGTGGACACAATTGTGGGAGCTTTGAGGGCAACACTCACTAACCCATCGCCGCCGGCTGCGATGGAAGAAGAAGTTTCCAGCTACCTTTATGTCATAGCAAGGACGAGTAGGAGTATTAAGATTGCGAAGACCTGGCATGCAGCTGGAGTTATCGATCTTATCGTTCGTTACCTTAACGGCTCTGATTCACCTCGAGTCCTACATTGGGCAGCAAGATCTGTCGGATGTCTCATGAGACCTAATTCGTCAGTCTCTTCGTCGTCCTCTTCTGCTGTTTGCGGAAATTGAATGGATCTATCTGGTACAGGTCAGATATGGCTCGTGCCCTTCTGGCAGCTGGAGCAGCTCGCGCTCTGGCGAGGCTCCCGAGAGTTGTAGGGCTTGAAGTAGAGCCTCTTGGATCTCTTGCCTTCGCGGTACAGCGTTTCAGCGCCGCGGAATGGGGGAGCGGGACGCGGAAAGCTCTCGTTGCTGCTGGTTCGTCTCAGCTCTATGCCGCTCACAATGTTGATCTGCTCACGTTTGAGGGATGAAGGCGTCGTGGACTCTCTCCTGTCCGCTTTCAGAGCAGTTGCTTCGCTTCCAGTCCCAGAGGCACAAGCGGAGATCGCATATGCTATATCATCACTTTGTGATGTCGGTGGGGGGGAGCTGAGGAAGGAGATCGTCCGGACGGGTGGTATTGATGTTCTTAAGAGAGTTGGTGATAACTCTCCTAACAAGGATGTGCAGAAAGCTTGTGGTCTCGCTATTCAGGTACGCCACTCTTGTGAAACTGGGAAGAAGCTGATTTATTGGGCCAACAGACTATCACCGGAAACATCCTTACCAGGAATACAGCATCTGCTAAGACCGCCCTCAATCATAATTGGTCTGGAGGAGCAGATATGTTCAGGTGAGACCTTATCACCTTGGCTTGGAGTGATGATTAATGTGATCACGGTAGGCCATGGCCTTGCCCAATCGTTATTTCTCCAACAAGTTCAGGCGATGGTAAAGAAATGATGAATTCAGATCAGTACTGAAAGTGCAACTGTATACCCACTTTGCTCCAGTTGATTAGGTCGAATCACTCACCAAATAATCTCCGTTCCTTTCAGTTCTGGGTACTTTGTTTGTTGTCTCTGTTGCGTACGAGGGCAATGTGATATGAGGGATGAAATGAATGAGTTCACCGGTGTACAAAGCAGTAAAGGCTACTTAGATGAAGTCACAAAGCAAACCAAGACCGAAACGGGGGGGATAAAAGTGCGGGAACTACATCAGATGAGGATAGCAATGCTGCTACTGATACCAAGTTGAAATGTTTGTGCGCGGCGAGAGAACGCAGACAACCCTATGTGCGTTTGAAAGGAAAAATAATCCCAAAACAATAAATATAAACAATAAAGATCTACTCGCGCGCAAGAATGAAACACTGAAACACATCTACCTCAACTTACTTTTCCACCACGAAACCCGCTTGATCCAAAGAA